AAAAAAAAAAAGAAGACGACGACGATAGCATGACATCATGCAAAAAAATAATGTTATCTTTGATCAAAGGGAAAAAAAAAAAAGAAAAAAAAAATTCTTCCTTTCTCTTTTTCTTTTTTGGAGTTACATATTTATTTATTTAAATTTACTTTTCAATACTCTCCAAGTATAATTTAATTTTAGAGTTTCTATAAAAGGTTGATCACTGCATAAATATTGGTGGTGACGTAACTACATTCTATTTCTACTGGAATATACACTATTGGGGTTCATGTGCACAGGCCGTGGGATACCTCACCCGATTAAAGATTCAACCATGTGCCGTGATCGCTTATACCCTGGACTTGAGTTGTCCTAGTAGACAATTAGTTCAATTCTTTGGTGTAGTCTTAAAGTTAAAAATCGATGATAGCGTTCTTTAAGTTATAATAAAATTATCTCGAAAGATCTAAAGGATTTTCTAAATCAGAACAAGTCAATTCTTAATTTTCTAAGGCCCTCTTAATTTACTAAGGCCTGTTTGATAGGGCAAGTTTTTCATGGAAAATGGAAAACTTTTTGTCATTTTCCACTTTTTAGAGTGTTTGATAGGAAACATTTTCCAGATAATTGGGTTTCCACATTTTCTTGATTTGTCACATTTTCTTACTTTTTTAGGTAAATCAATTTCCACCACATCGATGAGAATTGGTTTTCTAGGCAGTTTTTTTTTTTTTTAGGTAATGGAAACAAATTATATCCCTTTAATGGACAATTTTCATGGAAAATAAAGTCAATCCAACACCAAATGATCCAAAATTTCAATATTTTTCAAATGAAAAATTATACTAATCAAATATAATTAATTGACAATTCTCAATAAAACAAGTTCTAGACATTTCAATTCAATATAATTCATTTTCTTTTCATCCAAATTTCATTCTTGGAATCAAACAGACCCTAAGTTTAAAAGCTTGCCTGAAAGTATTTATTTACAATTTTGTTTTAATCACAATTTCTTTGGAACTCACTGATTATAAAAACTTAGCCAAGTAAGCACTTATTCTCGAAATCTTTCAATTGAATCTTTTAATTAACAATCTAATACATAAACCATTAAACCAGTTCTATAGATTTAAGCTTTGTATTATCAAATCCAATTCTTTTAACACACGTTTGGTATAATTAATTACGTGAGCTTAAATGTGACAAAGAAAAATAGCAACACGACAAATATGATTTTGCAATCGTTTAATTCAAAATTATATTCAATTAAACATATCAAATATATCTTATGATGTCAAGGAGCTAAGGGTGTGTTTGATTGCAAGGGTGAAAAATAAGTGGAAATAAAATATTTTACAGGGAAAAGTTT